GGTTGCCATTACCTTCTCCGCGGGACCTTCCCTATCCAGGGATTGAATCCGGGTCTCCTGCATTGCAGGCAGATTATTTACTCTTTGAGTATTTGTACATAAATAGCTGTCTATAGCTGACTTTTTACCATCTTCATCCTCAAAGTGGAAGTCTTATTGAGTCAAAAAGAATGAACATTTTTAAGGCTCTTAGTAATAAATATTGTTAGATTATTTTCTGAAAAAACTATTCTAATTTATATTTTGTCAACAATACACTACAGTGCCTATCAGACTTTGTCTTCATTAGGATGGGGTATTCTGTTCTTTCTTTCTTTTTTTTTTTTTGATGGCTATTAGGCCTCTTTATTTGGCTGAGAAACATTTGAAGCATGAAACTGTATGACACAATCAGTGCCACCATCACAAAACATCCTTAATTTAACAGGGTAAGAATGAATGTGTTTGTGTTATTTTGTTATTTTTTAGTCTTTTGCTGAAATTTCCTCTTTACCTATTATTTTTCTAGATTGTGAGCCTAATAAAAGTAGGAATTTCAATTTTTTAGGTATATTCTTTTCTGAGGACATCTTTCTTAACTGTTAACAGTTTCTGGACAACTCATCTCAGTAATGGGCTAGTGTTCCAAATGAACTGAAAACAAAATTACTCAAGGTTCCATTATTATTATAACATCTTAAAGGAAGACCAAATAGAATATATTGATCCAAAATAAGGAGTTTTGTTTAAGTTTTTATACCAGGACTTTCTGTAAAAGTGTTATAGTGCAAGTATGTCTGAGAGCCAGTGGGAAGTGAAACAAGTAATTCATTACTAGTAACAAAGTTCTGAAATGTGAGGATGATTTCTTTTCATGAGTTAGATCACATTCAAGGTTATTTCTATAATAACATGAACATTATTAATTTGCTTTCTTGAATGTGAGAGATTTGTGGTGCCAGAGCCGTTGGTTACAGCAATCCTGTCCATAGAAATATAAAGTGAACCACATCTGTAAAGGTAAATTTGTAGTAGCCGTTTTAAAAGGAAGATAATATCATTAAGACATTTTTACACCAGTGTGTCCAAAATACTATATTAATATATAAACAATATAAAAATCATTAATGAGACAAATAATGTTTTTTGCTGTCTTTGAAATCTATTGTGTATCTTATAGTTATGGCACATCTCAAATTTGGACCGGATGTATTTCAAGTCCTCAAAATTGTCATGCATGTAGATAGTGCTACCGTATGGGGTAATCCAGGGTTTATAGTATTAGCTAGGAATTTTATGGGTTCATGCATACTAAGTCACTTCAGCTGTGTCCAACTTTTTGTGACACCATGGACTGTAGCTCGCCAGGTTCCTCTGTCAATGAAGATTCTTCAGGCAAGAATACTGGAGTGGGTTGCCATTTCTAGGGAGTAAATATATTTTTCAATAATTAGAAGGATGTTTCTGGTAAGTGTCATAGTTTAGATTCCTTGGTAGCAGACTATGAGAAGGATTTGAGTGGAAGGAATTTATTTTATAAGTCATCCCAGGAAAACATTTGTAGGGAGTGAAGAAGTGAGACAGAGAAGGGAAGGAAGCCAATGAAAACTGTGTTAACAAGTTACTGCTTAGGCAACTTGGCAGCTTAGAGTGGTGGGAGACAGAATTGTTCCAACTCACAGACAGAAGCACTGGGGCATTTATCTCCCAGCTCCCCATCCATCACCAGTTGAGGGTTGAATCCAGGGGTTTGGACTTGCCTTGATTAGGTCCCAAAGTGCTCCCACAGCTGGAAAAAGGCCCTTCAGTAGGGAGTTGCAGATAAGCAGTGACCTCCTTAGTCCTGGCAAAGAGTCAGAGGATATGAGCTGGAAAGTGACAGCTCCTGCTCCAGCAAGTCCCATCATCTAAGGAGGGAACCTAGTAGCCTCAGGAACCCCAGAGATTTGATGCCACCTTGACTCTGCTTTATATACCATGCTGTTCACTTATATGTCCGTAACTCCTAGAACAGTTCATGGTACACAGTAGGTGTTTAATAAATAGTTTTTGAGTGTATGATTTCCCTTTGGGTTCCTGCTTTACTCTTTCTGGCCTCTTCATGTGAATGGGAGGCATGGCTATAAGCAGTTATGGATCATATCCTTATAAGTCCCTAATCAGAAACGAAAGAGGTTTTCTCTTTCTAGCGCCAGCAAAAAGAAAATTTAAAAAAACCCTAAAAAACAGCCCAACCATTTGTAAACCTGAAAACAGTTAGGTCAGAAAGGTTAGGTAAAAAGGAAAGTATCTAAATCTCCAGTCCTCTGGCTCCAGATTCAGTCTTCTCTATACAAACCAACACTGGTTTTCAATGTCTCTTATAAATACCATGTTAGTTTATGTCCAGAATAGGATGCTAAGAAGTTTCAACAGATCTTAGTTTAAATTAAAAAAAAAAGAGAGACAGCAGAAGCTGAAGGAATTGAATGTACTTGGCAGTTTGGAGATGGCTAATTATTGTCTTGAGATAGTCGTGGGGATGGGATAGAACAGTCTGGGGCAGTCTGACAAGGAAGTCACTAGACCTCCAACTTTAGCAACCAATTCCTTCATTTTTGAAGTAGAACTAGTAGTTGAGTGTTTACAGCACTGGAAAATGTAGGGAATGTAAAAGAGAACTGTAAGTCAGGAGAAATCTGGTACCATACATTGTGGATTGCATTATCTGAGAGAGAGCTAACACGAGAAATGTAGGTTATTGAAAAATTACAATTTTCAGCTCTAATCACTTGTCTTTTTTGCAACAGAAAATTTCAAACATGCATGAAAAGCAAGAAAATAGTATAATAAATTCTCATCATGCCCATCAATACAAAATTATTAACACCTTGCATTCTTATATGTTTGCCTCATAAAAAACGTTTGAATATATTAAGGGTTTCTTTAAAATCAATTTCTCCTCTGGCATTAAGGTATAACTGACAAATATTATATATATTTAGATGTTCAACCTGATGACTATATTTACATATACATTGTGAAATATTCATCACAACTGAGAGTCAATGCCTAGGTAGGTTGATAAGAAGTCCAGGGTCCCCGAGGAGGAGAAAGGGGTCCAGAGTCCTCAAGAAGAAAGGGGTCTGGGGCTCTCAAGGAGAAAAAGACTAACTTTTTTTTCTACATTGCTTTATGGTAGTCAATATAACAATGTAGCTTGCTCCAGGACATGTTTCTCCTTCTTGAGAACCTTCTGACTAATCCTATCATCTTCAAATACATGTTGTGGGAGTGGGTCTGGTAAAAGTATATAAGGCCTTGATAAGGCTGCTGAGTGGGGGCACTCTCCATCCCCTGCTCCCTGTCCCCCTTCTGATGTCTACGTCAGAAGATTTCTCTGTCCCTTTTCATAGTTTAATAAAACTCTGCTACACAAAAACTCTTAAGTGATCAAGCCTGTTCCCTGGTCCCAAAGCTAAATCTTCTACTTTGGAGATCACAAATTCAACACCATTCACCTTAAGCTATCACAACCAAGCCAATCAGCATGTCCATCACTTCCACTTTTGCCATTTTCCTTTTTTTTTTTATGTTGAGCAAAAACATACTACTACTACTCTTTAAGCAAATTAAAAGTACACAGCAATATTATCACATTGCTGTACACCATTTTTCTAGAACTTACCTTTTCATCTTGCATGCTGCTGTTGCTGCTGCTAAGTCACTTCAGTTGTGTCTGACTCTGTGCGACCCCATAGACGGCAGCCCACCAGGCTCTCCAATCCCTGGGATTCTCCAGGCAAGAACACTGGAGTGGGTTGCCATTTCCTTTTCCAATGCATGAAAGTGAAAAGTGAACGTGAAGTCGCTCAGTTGTGTCCGACTCTTAGCGACCCCATGGTCTGCAACCTACCAGGCTCCTCCTTCCATGGGATTTTCCAGGCAAGAGTACTGGAGTGGGGTGCCATTGCCTTCTCCAACTGAAGCTAAAAGCCATCATTAATAACACCAATTTTAGCCAAGGTATATGGAAAATTATCAAAGAATAATATGATCATCTTGTTGTAGGTACATAAATTTTGATCTTTTTCATTTAGAGTAGAAGGGAAGAGAAACTGTTGAGCTGGTAATTAAACACTTATGGGTTGTAGCCCAAGATTTTGTTCATTCAGTCCTGCAGTCATTCATTCATTCACACAGCATATTCTAGGCACTCTTCACACACACTGTCCATCTACCAGTGAGACAACCATGTTGAACCCCAAACTTGGGTCCAAGACCTTGGACAAGTGCTGTCCTTGAGCCTCATCTTTCTTATCTGTACAATAGGGATATTCTTGAACAGGGTATTGCTAGAGTTGAAAGTGAGGTGAGGTCCCCAGAAATGTGCATATGTATTTTGTGACATATGTCACTGTTACTTACCTAGGTTCTGAACACATGATGAAAGAAATTAGGAGGCAGTTTCTCTCCCCTCAGAGTCCCCTTTCCCAATCTAAGAGGGCAGCAAAAAGCTCAGAGGTTCACTCACAAGGCAACGTGTGAGATGCTGCAGGACATCTCAGGTGGGCTGTTCATGCCTTCAGCCAGCTTTCCCCAGGCCTTCCCTGCCGCCTGGGAGCTTCGGAGCAGCGGAGGAGGGCAGAGCCTGAGCCTCCCCTCTTCGCCTCTGGGGGAGTGCCTGGGCTCTGAACAGGAGTTTCAGCAGAGTTTGCAGCCCGGTGGGATCCTTGGAGCTGGTTTGTTCCTGCTGTCCGGTCTACCTCCCTCCATCAAAGAGCCGGTGGCCTTGCCTCCCACTTGCATGCGGCTCCTGGAAGTTTTGGCCTGACTGCCTCTTCCTCCTGCAGCCCCACACACGGCCCTACTTCTCCCGGAGCTGTGACAGCAGCTCAGAGTCGGTGACCCGAAGGCGATCCGGGAGGCTGCGCAGTCCCGGAAGGCGGAGACGGCGGGCTGTGGGAGCTCCACCTCCAGAAGCCTGTGGTTCTCGGGGCCCGCCCAGCAGACCGCGGACTGGTCTCCAGCAGACCGCGGACTGGTCTCCAACATCCCCGCCGTCGCCTCCAGGAGCAGCGGGAGCCTCGCGGCCAGAGCAGCCCAGCGCCGCTCCACGCCCGCCCCGGCAGGCACGATGCTGCCTAGGTACCCGGAGGTGAAGCCCAACCCAGTGCAGAAGGCGAACCTCTGCTCGCGCCTGTTCCTCTGGTGAGCACCCGCGGCTGTGATACGCGCAGTCACGGCGCCCTCCGCTGCCGCGCCTTTCGGAAACGAGTGTGGACCCTCCCAATTCAGTCCTGCTGCCCCCTGCACCCTGGGAAGGCGGAGCGCGACTGGGCAAGGAAGTGAGGAGCAGGGGTGGGGAGGGGACCCGGTGACCTGGTGGCGGAGGTACAGGGTCTCCGTGCCTTGCTGCCGGCAGCCCCTCCAGAGCCAGAAAATAGGAAGCGGGAAGGCTGCCAGGGGGAATCACAGCCCAGTGGGAGAATGCACTGAACACCCCGCCTCTACTCTTACCGGTTTCCCGGAACTGCTCAGGAATTCCCAGTTCTGAACTGAAGCGTCACACCCCTACCCCCTACCCCGTCCCCAGCCCCAAGCAAGCAGCTTATGAACAGCTTTCTTTATCTAATTAGTGCCCTAGACCATTGTTGTTATTCAGTCGTTCAGTCCTGTCCTACTCTTTGCAACCCCCTGATGGCAGCACTGCTGGTCTCTGTCCCTCACTGTCTCCGGAGTTTGCCCAAGTTCATGTCCATTGCATTCATGATGTCATCCATATAACTCATCCTCTGACACCCTCTTCTCTTGCCCTTAATCTTTCCCAGCATCAGGCTTTTTTCCAGTGAGTCATCTGTTTGCATCAGATGACCCAAATACTGAAGTTTCAGCTTCAGCATCAGTCCTTCCAAAGAATATTCAGGGTTGATTTCCTTTAAGACTGACTGGCTTGATCTCCTTGCAGTCCAAGGGACTCTCAGAAATCTTCTCCAGCGCCACAGTTGGAAGGCATCAGTCCTTCAGTGCTCACCTTCTTTGCCATCTTTCAGTGATGTCCCCACCTTTCCCCACGTGCCCTGTGTGACAGTGTGTTCCAGCTGCACTGGGTCCCCTCTGCCCCCAGGTCTGTGACCCTGTGTTTCTTTCCCTTTCCCTTTCTCCCTGTGTGGCTCTCACTGTATGACCTGGTTCCTAGTTGTGGCAAATTTCACGTGGGTAAAAGATGAAAGGTTTTTTATTTAATGATTGGGAACACTATTCTTGAACACATGTTGCTTTTGCCTGGGACACACAGTCAGGACTGAAGGATTTATTTGATCAGCCCCTTTCCTTATTGTGACCATCTCCACTTCCACCTTTGAGGATCACTCTGGGGATAGAGTCTCTGAAGCCTGTGAGGTGTTTCCCAATCTTTAGCCTTCAGAGAAGCAGTGCATGATCTTGATGCAGGTGGTCCTTCCCAGGAGTCATTTGTTCCTGAAACCACTGAAGTGTCCCTGAGCCCAGAGGAAACACACAGATGAAAAACAGCTCAGAGTTGAAGCTCTTAACTAAAGTGTTCCAGGTGGTAGCTGGGACCACTAACTATGTGGTCCTGAACCTTTGGGCTTTAATCACACTTGGATGATTACTAGTTGTTTTATTTCTGGACCCTGACCCATTTATCTTCCCCCCCAATTCTAGTATTTCCTTGTTTTATGGGACAGCCCAGGGGATCTCCAGGGACTGGGAGCTCCTATGCTTGTTTTGATGGTGGTGTATTCAGTGTGTGTAACTTCATCTCTTGGCCATTTGGTGGCCCTTAAGGAAAGAGGAGCCTAGAAGAAGGAATATGGGTGTGGTTACTGTAAATAATAATGAAGTCAAAAAAATTCTCCTTAACTTCACTCAGGGCAAGGAACTTTCCAAACCCCTCCTGTTTATGAATTTTCAAAGTGTATGTGCCTGGAAATGGGAAGGTGAGGACTTTTCATTGATTTGGGTAGGCATCCATTTCCAGTTTTCCTGCTGGAGGGAAAGGCACTATTACCTCTTATTTTATACTTGAAGGCACTGAAGCAGAGAGGTTGAGTAAATTGCTTACCACCACACAGCCAGTAAGTAATGGAGCAGGATCCCAGGTCAAGCAGGCTGGCTCTGAAGACGGTGTTCCTTGTATATGTAACTGATGTCACCAAATTGGCCTCCTGCCTTGTGCTGGGCTCCTAGCCCAGGCTAAGACCCCTTTTCTGGGCTGAAGAGGTTGTTTCTCCACGCAGATTCCCACAGCCAATAACTAAATTGATGGTAAGACTGGAACAGCACAAGTTTTATTCAATGAGCAAAGAATGGAGGAGCGAGAGCTTAGTTCTCGAATCAACTTCTCAACCTAGTTTGGGTCAAGGTAAAAGCAAGGAAATTGAATCAAGAGAGGGAGGACTATTCATGACTTACCTGAGAACCAGGGTGTGGTTTGGACCTGAAACTGAGGCAACACTCATTTTTAGTCCTTGTGGGTTGTTGTCATGACCACTGTCAACTGTCACAGCACCGATGAATATGCCATTTAGCATACTACTATATTATAGCAAATGCATAAATGAGGCGCAGGGTCTAGGGGAGGTTAGGTTTTTCAGCATTTTGGGCCTGAAAGTGAAAGTGGCACAGTCGTGTCCAGCTCTCTGCGATCCCATGGAATGTAGCCCACCAGGTCCTCTGTCCATGGAATTCCCCAGGCAAGAGTACTGGAGTGGGTTGCCATTTCCTTTTCTAATTTTGGGCCTAGCTAGTTCTAACCAGTTTTTATTTTTCTCTGTAACTTCCTCCTTTGATCCTGAGACTCAGACAAAAGCAGGAGGTGAAAGTGAAAGAGTTAGTCACTCAGTTGTGTGCAATTCTTCCTGACCCCACAGACTGCAGCCTGTCAGGCTCTTCTCTCCATGGGATTCTCCAGGCAAGAATACTGGAGTGGATAGCTAAAATAAATATGATTGTCACCTGGTTGAAGTCCCAGTTCCCAACCCAGGTAAAGACCAGATAAAACTAATGAGGCAGTTGGGGATACACAGACCAAAAAGCAGGAAGAGAACAATTGTAAGGGGTCATAAGAATGGCAGAAGCCCAGGAAGCTGAGATTGCCCTTTTGATACTGTCCCACCCAAATTTGTTCAGTCAGGGCCCTTCTTGTTCTGAGTATTTGATCAAGCGACTTTCTCTTTGAATTTTCACTGGAGTACAGTTGATTTACAATGTTGTGTTAGTTTCTGCTCTACAGCAAAGTGAATCTGTTACACATATACAAGTACACACTCTTTTTTAGATTCGTTTCCTATGCAGGCCGTTACAAAGTATAGAATAGAGTTCTCTGTGCTGTACAGTAGGTCCTTCTTAGTTATCTGTTTTATATATTATAGTGTGTGTATGTCAATCCCAGTGTCCCATTTTGTCCCTCCTCTCACCCCCTGGTAACCATAGGTTTATTTTTTTCCTACATCTGGGACTCTAAGTCTATTTTGTAAAGAGTTCATTTGTAGCCTTTACTTACATTCCACGTATAAGTGATGTCATATGATATCCGTCCTTCTCTGTCTGCAAGCAGCCTTCTCTGACGTCAGGTTGCACTGTCTTCTATTTGACCACTCACGTTAACATGGAAACAACAGGAAATTGTTGCAAGGGCACAAACTCCTCCCTGATCAGCCAGCAGGTAATCAGGAGCTATGCAGTGGTCCAGTGTCATGTGGACCAGAGGCCCAGTGCAGATTTCATCTTTCTAAAGTTAGAGCCAGGTTCTTTAGTTGCCCAGGCCAATGTTCGAGTGCTCCCCTTTTTTGTTGTTGTTTTTTTTAATAGCTTTGGCTTTATGAATAGTTTCTTGTGCTAGGCTCACCAAGGATGCTACAGGGGCGACAACTCCTTCCATTACCAGTCCAGTCCAGCTCCCTCCTGACTGGATGAATGGCTCCATTTAGATGGGAGGTGGGGTGAGTGTAATTAAAATCTGAATGGTATCTGGATCAGGGTGTGCGCCTTGTATAGCCCAGTATCCACTAGTAGAGTTTTCTTGGAGACAGTTGATGGCCCAACGTGGGTGGTCCTGGCCCCAGGGGCCTCGAGGACCCTCAGGGGTGCACTGTCTTTGGGTTTTCTTGAGTCCTGTTTAGACTAATGGTGGCGCCCTTCCGTCCAGGATACTGCCTCCACAGACCAGACCCCCCCAGGTTTGGTATGATCCTGTTCCCAGAGCCCTTGGGCATGGTCAGTATCTAGAGTCGGTCATGTCTGGAGGTGGAGGGCTCATTGGAAATATTGGTTGGGTCCCAGGAAAATAAGGATTTGACTAACACATACGCCTTTTGCTGGGGTGGGGTGGCAATGGGGGTAATCTTGATGTCCCTGGGCAGAAGCCTGGGTATGAAGGGATTAAACTGTAGTTTGGTGATGTTTTCAGCTGTTAATGGAGTTTCCTGAAAGTATAGGGGGCTATATTTATTCCCTGATTGAGACTGAAGGTGGCAGACCCCACAGTCAGTTAAATTTCAGCCCTTATGAAAGTCTTTTGTTACATTTGAAAAGAAATTAATCGGCCAGGAAGTGATAATGAAATGTAAAACCTGAGTTCTGTTCACGAAGCCTGAGAACGAATTCCGGGGAACTCGCAAACACTCAGGCAATGGAACTCGCAAACACTCAGGCAATTTTAGAAGATGTACAAAGTCCTCAGCATAGACTCTGAGAGGGCATGAAGGGCCCCCAAAAGGCAAGGATTATAGCAGTTTTATATCTTTTCTAGTATTGATCTGTACATTTTTGGTTGATTCATGACTTTAATATACATCATTTTTGATCAATTAATGTAAACATCACAATGTCCATTTTGTCAATTTTATGACTTTCTTGGATGCCCCATTTTCTCAGTTTCTCTAGACATTGCAACGCCATCCCTCGGCCCTTTCTCAAGACCCCAGACCATTATTTAGGGACCAAATGTATGTTTTAACTACTAACGGTCTTCTTGCAGGTTTCTCTTGATAAACTGGACAGCAGTTAGTAATTGTCTTGTCCTGAGTCAGAATGTTTTATGACCTTCCAGACCAGGAAGGGATTCCTCTGAATGCCTGGAAATTGGAGCAAACAGTGAGATGCTTACTTGAGAAGAGAACAATTGAAATTAAAAAAGGAATTAAAAATTGAAATCAGAAAAAGTCTTACACTGTCTATCAATTTCTGCTTCAATTATAGGGGGGACTATAAGAAAAATCAATGTATTCATTTTAGTTGGAAAGATGTTACTGATCTTTAGGACATCTTCAGATGGTCGGGGTCAGAAAGAGGCTCATGTGAGGGGCATCTGACAGAGCTGTAAGGAGGTCAGGGTCCAGAGCCTGTTGGACTCAGTGTGTTGTATTGTAACGTGATCCCCTGTAAAATTTCCTTTGTGTTATTAGCTGAACTAAGGAGGTCTTGGGACCGCACGTTTGCGTCTTATGTGAATATGACTGAGGCATTCTTGAGTCTGGTGGGCTTTCCTGGTGGCTCAGTGGTAAAGAATCCATCTGCCAGTGCAGGAGACACAGGTTCAATCCCTGAGCCAAGAAGATCCCCTGGAGAAGGAAATGGCAACCCACTCCAGTATCCTTGCCTGGGAAATCCCATGGACAGAGGAGCCTGGAGGGCCGCAGTCCATGGGGTCACAAAACCAGTCAGACATGACTTAGCCACTAAACAACAATAGCAAAATCCTTGAGTCTGATGCAGTTCAGAAAATGTAAGTGCTTGGTAATACAGGAGCGTATCTACAGCCTTATCCACAATTGCCATTCAGCTCTATTCTGTGCTCCTGAACCAAGGTAACATTATTTTGATTTCTAAATGTATTTTTCTTAATAATTAAAGTAGATGTACAATGTATGTTCAGTAGACCACAAACAGGGTATTTTAGTTAAGTTATATTCTGTGTAAGCCAGAGTAACTTATCGACACCCTGATATATGTGTTTGTAAGCATATGTCTAATTTTCTCCCTACATCTTTGTATAGTGAAAATGTAGACTTTTTTTTAAACAATGTCCATGAATGTAGGATTCTAATTAAAGATATGTAATTTGAATATATGTCACTCTCCTTTTAATTTTTAACAGGTGGCTAAACCCCTTGTTTAAAATTGGTCACAAACGGAAATTAGAAGAAGATGACATGTACTCGGTGCTTCCGGAAGATCGCTCCCAGCACCTTGGAGAAGAGCTGCAAGGGTGAGCACAGGCAGGAGGGAGTACAGAGTGAGAATTTCTCCATGGGGCTAAAGGCTTGTGGGGAGGGGCCTTTGCCTTCCTCTGGGTTCTTCTGAGTCTCCTTCCCTGACGCTGAACCCTCACCCCTTCATGCTGACCCTGGGCTTAGCCTACTTTGGAGGCTGGGGGAGCCTGTGTTCCCCTTGTGAGTGGACGTGGAGGGAGCCCACAGCCATGGCCCTGGAGGCCTAGCTCTGTCCCCAGAGGTGGGGTCCCTGGAGGACAGTGTCTGCCTTTCTGAGCTGCTCATGACCTGTGAGTTCAGCAATGCTTAGCAGGAACTTGTTTGTAGAATCTGGGACTTTTCTCTGAAGACCTGGTCTGGTGCTTTTCCTGGTGCTTCAGAGTCTGAGTCTGCTCTGCTCATCTTTCGGGAGCCCTGTGAGCAGTTAGCCAGCGTCTATGGGGCCCCACAGAGCGGCCTGTAGTGAAGGCTCATCTTCTGCTCTGTCCCCTCCCCTGTTTTCTATGGCAGGGCTGGTCTTCACTGTGCTTTGTTTCTCTCTGCAGGTACTGGGATCAGGAAGTGTTGAGAGCCCAAAAAGATGCGCGGGAGCCTTCTTTAATGAAAGCAGTCATGAAGTGTTACGGGAAATCCTACTTAGTTCTGGGAATGTTAACATTTCTTGAGGTAAAAGCTTTTCCACACAGTGCATTGATTTTGAGTATATGTGGGTCAGTCCTGAGATGGATGGACTGAGGCAGGGAGAGGACAGTGGTTTAAGGTCTAAGGGTAAATCTCATCTAGGAATCATGATGTAGATCAGCAGTTGTATTTATCTTTCGATTAGACAGATTCTTAAAGGACTTGACCTCTGGAGATTACTGTTTTTCTTCTAACTGATTAAAACAGAGTGTAATGGAAGGATAGCAGCACTGGAAAGATATTTTATACCATGTTAGGATGTTTTTGGTGCTCAATATAAATATTGAGTGACCTTACAACCTCAGGGAATATGTGTCCTGTTGTTTGGAGGAAGTAAACTTCAGACAACAGTGGTCAGGAGATGGCAACAAACATAACAGATTCCAAAACAAAGGCCAGAAGCAGAGTTTTAATAAAGCATTCAGACAGTAATTTGAAGTAGAGGATTTATGTGGCAACAACAGACCTATGTTCAACAACATGGAACTGAACATTATTTTTCATATAAAATTAAAAGCACATTGTATTTCCTTCCTGACCACTTGTCCAGTCTCTATCTCTTCGAGAGAGACAAGCTTCATCTAAATTATTTCATCTGATTGATCACTGTCATTTATAACTTTATTGCTGCTTCTGTCTTGGGTATTCCTTTAGAAAAGGTGTATGGATTCATTACATATTCTAATGTATTGTCTATAGATTGTAAGATAAAGTCAAACATGTACTGAGGATACTTTTTAAGTTGATCTGTCTTTATACTTAGAAATGTCTCTTAATAGTAGGCTTTCCTGGAGGAGAGTTCTGACAAAATGTGGTCCACTGGAGAAGGGAATGGCAAACCACTTCAGTATTCTTGCCTTGAGAACCCCATGAAAAGTATGAAAAGGCAAAAAGATAAGACATGCAAAGATGAACTCCCTAGGTTGGTAGGTGTCCAATATGCTACTGGAGATCAGTGGATAAATAACTCCAGAAAGAATGAAGAGACAGAGCTAAAGCAAAGACAACACCTAGTTGTGGATGTGACTGGTGATGGAAGTAAAGTCTGATGCTATAAAGAGCATTATTGCATAGGAACCTGGAATGTTAGGTCCATTAATCAAGGCAAAGTGGAAGTGGTCAAAGAGGAGATGGCAAGATTGAACATTGACATTTTAGGAATCAGAAAACTAAAATGGACTGGAATGGGTGAATTTGACTCAGATGACCATTATATCTATTACTGTGGGCAGGAATCCCTAAGAAGAAATGGAGTATCCATCATAGTCAACAAAAGAGTCGGAAATGCAATACTTGGGTGCAATCTCAAAAACGGCAGATTGAACTCTGTTTCCAAGGCAAACCATTGAATATCACAGTAATCTAAGCCTATGCCTTGACCAGTAATGCTGAAGAAGCTGAAGTTGAATGGTTCTATGAGGACCTATAAGACCTTCTAGAACTAACACTCAAAAAAGATGTCCTTTTCATTATAGGGAACTGGAATGCAAAAGTAGGAAGTCAAGAGATATCTGGGGTAATGGGAAAATTTGGTCTTGGAATACAGAATGAAGCAAGGCAAAGGCTAATAGAGTTTTGTCAAGAGAACGCATTGGTCATAGCAAACACCCTCTTCCAACAACACAAGAGAAGACTCTACACATGGACATCTACATATGGACAGATGGTCCATATGAAATCAGATTGATTATATTCTCTGCCGCCAAAGATGGATAAGCTGTATACAGTCAGCAAAAGAAGACCGGGAGCTGACTGTGTCTCAGATCATGAAGTTGTTATTGCCAAAATCAGACTTAAATTGAAGAAAGTAGGGAAAACCATTAAACCATTCAGGTATGACTCAAATCAAATCCCTTAACAATTATACAGTAGACATGAGAAATAAATTCAAGGGATTAGATCTGATAGAGTGCCTGAGGAACTATGGACGGAGGTTCGTGACATTGTACAAGAGGCAGGGGCCAAGACCATCCCCAAGAAAAAGAAATGTAAGAAGGCAAAATGGTTGTCTGAGAAGGCTTTACAAATAGCTGTGAAGAGAAGAGAAGAGAAGCTAAAGGCAAAGGAGAAAAGGAAAAATATACACATTTGAACGCAGAGTTCCAAAGACTATCAAGGAAAAATAAGAAAACTTTCATCAGTGATCAATGCAAAGAAAGAGATGAAAACAATAGAATGGGGAAGACTAGAGATCTCTTCAAGAAAATCAGAGATACCAATGGAACATTTCATACAAAGATGGGCACAATAAAGGACAGAAATTATATGGATCTAACAGAAGCAGAAGATGTTAAGAAGAGGTGACAAGAATACATAGAAGAACTATACAAAACAGATCTGCATGACTCAGATAATCACAGTGGTGTGTTCACTTGCCTAGAGCCAGACATTCTGGAAGGTGAAGTCATATGGGCCTTAGGAAGCATCACTAAGAACAAAGCTAGTGGAAGTGGTGAATTCCAGTTGAGCTATTTCAAAGCCCAAAAGATGATGCTATGAAAGTGCTGCCCTCAATATGCAAGCAAATTTGGAAAACTCAGAATTGGCCACAGGACTGGAAAAGGTCAGTTTTCATGCCAATCCCAAAGAGAGGCAAGGGCAAAGGATACTCAAACTGCCACACAATTGCATTCATCTCACATGCTAGTAAAGTAATGCTCAAAATTCTCTAAGCCATGCTTCAACAGTCCATGAATCAAAATCACTGCAGATGGTGACTGCAGCCATGGAATTAAAAGATGCTTGCTCCTTGGAAGAAAAGTTATGACCAACCTAGATAGCATATCAAAAAGCAGAGATATTACTTTGCCAACAAGGTCCATCTAGTCAAAGCTATGGCTTTTCCAGTAGTCATGTATGGATGTGAGAGTTGGACTATAAGTAAAGCTGAGTGCAGAAGAATTGATGCTTTCGAACTGTGGTGTTGGGGAAGACTCTTGAGAGTCCCTTGAACTGCATGGAGATCTGACCAGTCCATCCTAAAGGAGATCAGTCCTGAGTGTTTATTGGAAGGACTGATGCCGAAGCTGAAGCTCCAATGCTTTGTGCACCTGATTCGAAGAACTGAGTCACTGGAAAAGATCCTGATGCTGGGAAAGATTGAAGGTGAGAGGAGATGGGGGTGACAGCGGATGAGATGGCTGGATGTCATTACCGACTCAATGGACATGAGTTTGAGTAAACTCTGGGAGTTGGTGATGGAAAGGGAGGTCTAGAATGCTGCAGTCCATGGGATCGCAAAGAGTCGGACATGACTGTGTGACTGAACTGAACTGAACTGAACTTTCTGGTGCTCAGAAGAATCTGCCTGCAGTTCAGGAGACCCTTGTTTGATCCCTGTGTCTGGAAGATACCCTGGAGAAGAAAATGGCAACCCACTCCAGTATTCTTTCCTGAAGAATTCCATGAACACAGGAGTCTGGTAGTGTCCAGTCTATGGGGTCCCAAAGAGTCAGACATGACTGAACAACTCTTACTTACTCAAATTTGGACTGGAGCCCAGAATAACATAAGACATTTGACAGTTGCTCAGCAAGTAATTATTGACTTTCCCAGGTCACATATGATAAATGCTTTCCTAGGAAAGGATCGTCCCCTTCCTGTGGAACAGAACCTGGGGTCCTGGGAGCTGCCAGAGCTCCCAGCATCACTCCCTTCCCTGGGTTGCCCCCTCCCCATGGGCCAGGTCAGCCAGAACAGAGCCCCCCATGGGGAGGAGCTCCAGCTTCACCATGAATTGTGGAGAACTCATGCACCCTCCATTAAGGTTTCTATCCCGGGTGAGTTCTCATGAGTCCTGCTTGTCTGGAAACCCTGGGGCCTCGTGTAGGTGTGGCTCATGCCAGGTGCCTAGTTGGATGAGTGGCCTCTGGGTTTACTGTTGGATCATATCCTGGAGCAGCTTTTTCTCTGCTGTCCCTGGTTCTCTAGTTTCTCTTTGGTACCAGATGATAAAGAGGCTTGAAGGCAAGTGGGTCTCAAAGCATAGCCCATGTGGATTTTCTTGCTGTCCTGGGCTGTCAGCTCCTTAGGTGCGGTCCCTAAGCCTCGAATGGATCCCATCCTAATATGAGTCCCAGGTCTTGGCTGTGGCAGTTCATAGGAGAAGCAGACATAGAGGGAGAGGCTACAGAATCTGTGGTTCTTCTTGAGAGGGAATCCGCCCCACTGTGGTGCTGGGAGTGTTGATTTCCAAGTTTTCCAGCCCCGGTAATACTTCCTGCTGGGGATCCAGGAAGGCCAGGCCTGGGGCTGCATAAGGTGCAACTGGTAGAGCCCTGGCCCGTCTTTTAGGAGCTTGGTTGTTGGGTGGTCATGGCAGAGAAGAGGGAGCAGAGGACCTTGAATGTAGGGGCTCCTCTGTGTGGTAGCACTGCTAGGACTAGTAGCGGTAGCAGTACTAGTTACTTAAATTGATTTTATGAAGCAAATTTCCATGTTGTGATCTATCTGTACTGATTGTTGGTCTTTATATTTTAGATGGTGGAAGATCTAAACTCAGCCCAGGATTTTCTAAAACACAAACATGTTTCCTTTGTGACCTCCAGCCCTCTTTCAATTCCCCAGGTGCACAGAATGCCCTGTGGATCATCCATGATCCCAAGCAGTGTGCTCTTTCCACCCACAGCAGAAGCAGGGCCTCCCAGGTACTCCTGGCGGCACCAGTGGGAAAAAGCAGGGTGATGCCAGTCCAGGGTGAGGCTCTTAGGATTCTGAGATATGAAAACCTCTGTCCTGTGAGAACTGAGGAGTATCTGTACCACTCAGTGAAATAGGTAGCAGGCTGTGGAGCCCTTGCAGGTCAATGCTAATTAGAACAGAACAGGCAGAGAGTTCCCAGCACCCTGGCCCCTGTGTGCACCTCCACGGGGACCACAGGTGGGAAGGACAGGTCTCCACCTGCCTGGGGCCCTCAGGGTGGGGCCCCAGCCTGAAGTCTCTGCCTGGGCCAGAGACACAGAGACCACCTCCCCAGGTCATCAGTA